ATTTGATTGTAATAGTTATTTTGAATAAATAAAAAAAACATAAAAAAAAAAGAAAAAAATGTTAAGCATTATGTTATATTTATAGATTTTTATCTTGCAGTAAAAGATGATGATATTTGGAGTTATCTCAAACTTTTTACAAACTAATTACGCGCACTGTTTGGATTTTATATAGTGCTCTCTAAACTAAATAAATAAATCTTGCAAACTGCTTGAGAGGCATTCTCATCCAAGAAATACCTAGGTAAGATTTTTTGAAAAAGCATTTTTCTTCTAAGAAAGATAATTGAAATTGACAGACATGCATAGTCTAGTGCAAAATTTTTTCCCATGGCTGTGTCATAAATTTGGTGAAACTATTGCTTGTCGAAGAGAAAACTGTTGTTTTTTTCAAAATAAAAGAAATTGTAACCGCGAATCTTTTATTTTTTTAAAACAAAAGATGTGCGGTTTTAAATTGTCTGAGTATAAGATCTCCATGTTTTTCAACCCAGAATTTCAAAGCGCCTTACCCTAGATTGTGTAGAATGGTAGTGTAAATTATTAATATCACATGTAAGTATAATATTATCTACATCTATTTTTCTTGGAATTTTTCTTGAAAATCCCAATTATCTTTTATATAAGTATTGTTTCTATAAAATTAGAGATATAAAAATTTGACTTTAATGTAATGTCGGTGAATTCCTGCAATAATTGGTCTTGCTTTTAGTTCTTCTGTAGGATCCATCTTAATAAATAAAGTACGAGATTCTTCAATCTTTTTTTACAATTGTTTATGTTTATGTTTATGAATTTTGGGAATTTTATAAAAATTGCGAGATTTTCTTTTAAATTTTGTAATGTAGTCATTGTTTTACGTTAAACATTTATGTTGATCTTTTATTTTTATTAGATTTTTGAAAACTAATTTTTCACAGTTTTTTCATTTTTGTCAGAAGAAGTAAGTTATTATAATCTTACTTCTTCTGACAAATATGAAAAAACTGTAAAAAATTTTAAAATATTATAGAATAATATAAAATGTTGAGCCCGTTAATGATCTTAGGTTGTATTTTTTTTATCCAGTTTTTTGGCGATAAGCATTCTTAAGAAGTTATTTCGATTGTTACTAATATTAATGGCAGTAGGATGGATCTTCTTTTCTTTTTTTTTCTGTTTACATTTGTCGTGAAATGCGTACTATATTTTACAAGAACAAACAAACATTTTTGTCCTTGTTTACAAAGATAAACAGACAAGGCTTCTGAAAGAAGATCATAATGATCTTATCTTCAGAACCTTTTACAATTTTAAAATGCAAATAGGAAAAAAAATAATACTAATAAAAAAATAATACTAATAAAAAAATAAATACTAATAAAAAAATAAATACTAATAAAAAAATAAATACTAATAAAAAAATAAATACTAATAAAAAAATAATACTAATAAAAAAATAATACTAATAAAAAAATAATACTAATAAAAAAATAATACTAATAAAAAAATAATACTAATAAAAAAATAAATACTAATAAAAAAATAAATACTAATAAAAAAATAATACTAATAAAAAAATGATAAAAACTGAAAATGTAAATCTTAAAAATGACCATAATAATTAAATATCAGAAAGCAGGACCTAATAATAAAAAAAACTTAAACAAAAAAGACGTATTTAAATATATTTTATAAATTTGTTATAAATTTAAAAAAAACAATCTAATTATTTAAATATTAATATAGATCTCATAAATCAAGGTTTCAAATGAATAGTAATTTAAAATGCCATCCATAGCAAGAATGAAATTCATTTAATTTTTTTAAAAAACAGAAAAACGAACAAAAGTATCAAAATCAAAAAAAGACAAAACTAATCCTAAACGAAGGTACAAAATAAGTAATAAAAAATTTATTAAATTTTGTTCTTCAAATTGGTTCATTTAGCAAATCAATATTTCTTAGTGAGTACTTATTAGAAAGTTTCAATAAAAAAAAAGGTCGTTAAAAATAGGTAGGGATAAATTGTTTTTCATCGTATAAGCAAAGCATAAAATAATAAAGACGTTAAGTTTGTAAACGTCATGCAATTTTATTTCATTAAAGATTGCTTTTAAATGTGAAGAGCAATCCACATAACTAATTACGTAAATCGCACGTATATGACTGCAATAAAGACGTTGTAATTAACTTTTTTCGGTACTACTCCAGGCATCATTTGCGTTACTTAAATAACTGTGTATAAATGAGTAATAGAGCAGTGCAAAGTTTTTTTGTTTCAGTAAGGTCAGGTTTTATACAAAATGCCAAAACTTTAAGTAGCTATGGTGTTTACATGAATGGTTTTGCCAAGTAATATTCTGATCAAGATAAACACCAAGGCATCTTAAAAAAAATCTCCTTTTATTGCAGTTTCATCTATAGAAATTTGAAGCATAATATTTGTTAGAGAACGTTTTTTATAGGGGGAATGAATAAGAATCCATTTAGTTTAGTCAGTATTTAACGTTAACTTATTACTTTTGAACCATTTAGAAATGTACTTAAGTTCATTATTATTAGGTGAGAAAAGTTTATAAAATCAGGATGGGATTGGAATAGGTTGGAATAGGTGTTATCGACATGCATAATACTCATTAGGTTAGAGGCTTTGATTACGTCGTTAATATATATTAGAAATTGCAGCGGTCCAAGAATAATTATGAACAATGTGGAACACCACAAGTTATATTTAAGAAGCCACTTTGATGGCCATTATTACTATGCACTACTTGCTTACGATTGTTAAACAGCTTTTAAACCGCGTTAAAACATTATTGTTTAAAACAATTTTTTTTTTGTTTGTTTTAAATTATAATAGTCAACCGTATCAAATGCTTTTGATAGGCCTATAAAAATACCTAATGTATATTGCAATTTTTCATAGGATTTAAAGATGTTGCGTACAAATTAAACAATGGCACGCTTAGTTTAATTACAATTTTTGAAACCGAATTGATTGCTGTATAGTAGGTTATTATAATTAAGATAATTATCAACTCCATTAAACATAATTCTTTCTAGGATTTTAGAAAATACAGATAAGATAGAGATGGTGCAATATTTAATTATTTATGATATTAGATCTGTCGCCAAAATATTTATTGAACTCATGAGTTATAATTTTTAGTTTGTATAAAACTTTTTTTATCAATTTTAAGAATCTAGAAGCTTAAAATGACGTTAACGCACTTGGCCAATACTAAAAGATATCATTGCAAAGCAAAAAACATACAAGGTCTTTGTTTTCCAATGATTTCTTTTAGTATTTGTCAAGTGCGTTTTACATCATTTTTAGTTTTGATAATAAATTTTTAATGGTAGTTATTTTTTCAAACTTTTTCAAATATATTGTTATAGCATTTACATATATTTTTTGCTTCCAGGAATTTTTGTTTTTAAATACTTTATATATGACTTTTGTTTAATTTTTTATCTTTGAACCCCTTGGTAATCTGAGAATTATTTAAGTTTTTAGTTTATGATCTTGGAACCCCTTGGTAATCTGATGATTATTTAAGTTTTTAGTTTATGATCTTGGAACCCCTTGGTAATCTGATGATTATTTAAGTTTTTAGTTTTTGATGTTTGAGTAACGTTTGGAAACTTTTTATCGTAAACCGTAATATATGTTTCGAAGAAATTTTCATAAAGATTATTTACTGATATTTATTTCATAAATCATTAAAGTTAAAATGTTTCCAATTAAGTTGCGATGGCTGGTTTTTAAGCAATTTAATTTCAAAAAATAAAAGAAAAGAACTATAAGCAAACAAGTTTAGAGTGCTTTAATTTTTAACTTTTTATGAGAAAAATGAAAAGTTGATTTTTTTCTTGAACATCATCCTGATTAGCAAATGTTAGTAATGGTTAGTTAAATGGTAAGCAAACTATAGTAGAATCTATAGTAGAATATTGTATCTTTTATTACTATCAATGTATCTTTTATTACTATATTCTATAGTAGAATATTGTATCTTTTATTAATATTTAACGAAAAATCTATACCCTTTAAACCCTTTAAGGTTATTTATTATTGACTCTAATAAAAAATTTGTTAGCACTCAAGCTTTAGAATTAAAAAAAAAAAATTCATTCATTTGATTTCTTAGTTTCTGAAAATTACACAAAATTTTGAAGCTTGTAAATTCTAACAGAAAGTTTTGAAGATCTTAACATAATTCTCTCATGCTGCTAAACAGTTTAGTCGACTAAAAAAAATAGTTTTAAAATAAATTTAAAATCTTTAAACCCTTTCATCTTTTCATTCAATTTACCTCTTTTGATCTTTAACTTTTGTTTTTACGGTATAGACCTTTTTTAATATTTAACTTTTGTTTGTTCGTTATGTATTGTCAACCCAATATTTGTGTCACCAAATATTCGGCTGCCAAATATTCGAAGATTATTTCTTATTTTGAGGGTTCCGACCTGATTCATTGAAGTGCATATGCTAATTACGGTATAGACGTTTTTGTACCCACCTGACAATTATTGTCAGGTGGTTTTTTTTAATGTAATTATTTTTTTTTTTAAACTAGTTAAAAGTGCTCATATTACCAAGAGGTCTGGGTATTATGATTACTTTTTTAAAATCTATGTCTTTTAAAAAAAAAAAAATTTGGAGGCCCAAAATTTTTTCTAAATCCACTTAATCATGAAAGGTCCCTAATAATTGTTTTTTTCGCAAAAACTTTGGATCTAGCATAATTATTTTTGAATTTTCATTTTGGTTTGGCAGCTCGGTCTAGTCCTTTTATGCATACTTTTGCCTTTATTAAATTCTTTTTTTAGTATACCTACATTTCAAGGTATAATATCTGCTCCTAGCGAAAATTAATATTTCAAAATGACAGCTCAACTTAGGGTTTTTTAGTTATTACTTACAAAAAATAATAAATAAAAAAATAAACAAAAGTTAAAAATTATTTAAAGCAAAAAAATTTTTTTATAAAATATATTAGATTATTTAGACTCACGTAGTGTTTCTCGAATCATAAATAACAGTATAAAATGTTTAGCCATAGCTAAATGACCATTAATTTAAAAATAATTTTTAACATGGAGATTTAACATTTTATTGCAAGTGTAAGTATAAGTATAAATAATTCAACTAAACATGATTTTAAATGAATCTCCGTCGCAACTTAAATAGTTTATTTTACAACATTAAAATATCAAATAATTTATGATACTGGCTATAAATAGAATCAGACTTAATCAAATAAATAAAAATTATAGGTGACACGTTTCTTGCATTTTTTTGTATTTTTAATACATATTGAATCTTTGCAATATTAGGCAAATAAAAAAGTAACTGCATTAACTCCTCGTTTTTGAAGTAATGGCTTAAGTTTATATTAGTAATATTAGTTACAATCGGGTTCTTGAAAGTTTTTGTTTTATTTTTAGCAATTTTTTTTAGTTTTAATAGTTAATATAACAAAGAGACACGAGGTAAGATAAAAGATGGCGGCTTACATGTTATCTCACCTACAAAACTATATATAAAAGCTGACTTTAGCTGTGAAGGAAGTAAATTATATTAGCTTAATTTATTTACGCCTTCTTTTTAAATATTATTTAAAGTCAGGTCTGAATTAATTTTAAAGATACAAATTGTAGTTATTAAACTACCAACATGGTGGTTTGAGATTACTAAAACATTTCCAAAAAAAAGATATAAAGACCAGAACGAAATGAAAAAGCTTTTGGTGGTATAGCTAGAAACCTAACGTTTAAAATCTGTAATGCGCGTTATGTAAAGTTGATTTCGCATAAAGGCCTAATGACTAATATCAAGTGTAGTATCTGCTCTTTTTTCGGCTCCAGACCACCTTCTATTTTGTTACGGTGTTGTTTGAAAGCAGGAAAAAAAAGTAGGTTTAACTCTTCTTGACCTAATAGCTAAGGTCAAGTGTAGTTCTCTGGTTGATTCTTAGATTAATTAGGCAAGCTTGTGATTCTAAAATGTATAAAAATATATTTCTACTGACCTTCTGAGTGCTTTAGTGAGCTTTAATGAAATCCCTTCAGCTATATATACGTAATGGTTTCATACAGAGTCAGACTGGTATTTAGGGGTCTGGTTTTTTCATTTGCGCCCCTTGGATATCCACGTTAAATCCTTAACCACAAAGTTAGGGGTCCTGACCAGACGGCCTTTAATCACATAGCAGGGGCCCTGACCTTGAGACATAGCAGGGGCCGGGGGGTGGTAAATACCCCCAACCTCCCTCGCCAGTCTGACCCTGGTTCCATGATTGACATGGTTGAGACTGTCATGAAAACTGACATAGGTAAACAAATATTCCTTGAAAAAGGTTTAAATATTAATGGTGTAAACCACCGAATCTACCATTTAACGCCAAATAGAAATACCAGCAAAAGAGTAACAATTTTTGTCCTTGGATTACCATTAAAAAAACGTGGTTTTTCGGGCGGAAAAGTTCTTGAAGAACAAGTATACAAAAAACATATAAATATTAATTCAATTTTTAAAAGAACATCTAAAAACAAAAGGCTCTATTATTTTGGTATTATAGTAGCAATTATTGAAAATATAGAAAAACCAATTCCAAGATTTATAAAATTTAATGGACATGCCGTTAGAGTTATTTACACAGGGCAAGAAGAAGTGAGAATTCTATCTCAAAAAAAGACAACAAATATGGTAAAGGGCATTAATAGTAAAGCCAAACCACTTAGAGTTACTACATTTGTTGGCTCGGTAGAAGAAACATCAAATCTAAGCGAAATCTATTACAAAAGAGGTACGGACTATAGAAAAAAAAAAAAAAAAATGGATCAAGAAAAACCAATAGTAAACGAAAAGGATATAAAAAGCGGAAATGAAGAGGATGACAAAAAAGATGATGAATGATAGTCAAGTGAAGAAGATGGTGAAAAGATTGATAATAAAGAAGATAATATAGCTGAAAGTAAAAATAATGAAAGAAAAAGTGAGGAAGGTGATAGTAAATAGAATGATAGTAAAGATTAGTAAAAATTTCGGCTCTGAACTTTCTTTTGGTTGGTTACGGTGTTGTTAGAAAGCAGGTACAGCATAAGATTGATACCGTAACAGTTAATAAAGATTCTTGGCGTAGTCGCCCAGGGGCGTTTACAGGAAATTTTTTGGCCAAGTCCGAAAAAAAAAACTATGTAATATTTTAATTCATATCGCTCAAAATATGATTTTGCAAACTAGAAAAATTATTTTTTGAAAATACTCAGTTGTCGTAATGTATAATATATATATATGTTAAAATTTTTTACAAGATTTGTGAAAACGATTTCCAAGGTTTTGCTGTGTAATATTTTTTATATAACTTTATAAATAACTTTTAATTATAAATAAACTTAATAAATACTTAGAGTCGAAAAACTTATTGCAATAACTGTATAATGCTAAATGTTTTAACAAAGATGTCTGGCTATGAAAATAGCTGTTTAACAAAAAGCAGCTTAGACATTACATTACAACTTAGACAAGTTATACTTTTATCATATTTGAATTTTATTTAAAACACAACTCATAAGTATTTATAACAAGCTTGTTAAAAACTTGTTTACTATCTATAAACTAGCTAAACTAAACCATTTAGACTTAATCAACTATTTTGCTTTGCAACGTCTACTTACAATTCTCTTATAACCTTTTAGGTACCTTAGTAAAGAAAAGGCTTGTAATGTTTCAGTATTATCAGAATAAAGTTCATTTTTAAAGTTTAGGCAGTTAAGTGAAGTTCAACTAAACTTCCACAGGTCTAATTCGTAATAAAGCCTTTGATTTAGAAATAATAAATAAACCTAATAAAACCTTTGGTTAAACAAAAGAAACTAAAACATATGATTTGGTCTTCCCAACTAGTATAACAAAATATTAAATTTCTGCAATAGTTTTTAGAAGAAACTAAATATTAGAAAATAGAAATTAAAACACTGGTGATTTACAACACTTCAAAATTTTATCAATCAATCAAACATTATGTTAAACTCAGTAACGAGACAGTCTAGCAAAGAAACAGTGATAACCAAGTTAAAATAATTTGAAATGCAATTTTTAGGCTTGTTTAAATCATATTTGGAGGTGTTGACTAATAATATTTCTAACTAGAGACAAAATCTTTTAATGCTTGAATAAGGTTTAAACTATAAAAAGTATCATTATTACTTGCTTGCACAATCGTGTAATTAAAAAAGCTATATTAAAAACATGTCTTGTTATACACAGTGCATTAATAAAATCAACATTTTTTATTAACTTCAGCAGAAGAAACAGTAGCAGGGGCTGCGCCATTAATGACATTCTTTGAGACAGAAACCCACAGGTTTAAAAAACTTTTGTAAAGTATCCATGCCACAATTTCACATTCCATAACATCCAAAGAAAAATCAGTAATAATTTTTATTAAAATAAAAATAAATAATTTTTTTCTTTTTCATAAAGGAAAAACTTGTTTATTTAGTATTTTATGAGTATCTGATGAACTGCATAAAGTTTATGTGGTTCATATTACGATTATCATGATTCTCATAAAGGATAAACAATATGGCTAATTAAAATTTATACTTCTAAATATACGTCTAAAATACTTCTAAATATACGTCTAATTATACGTCTAAAATCTTCTTCTTGATTATCAAAGAAAACCAAGAAACAAATACTAGTTTTTATCGATGCAACTGTAAACAGCTTCTACTTGTAATAACTCTCTGTCTTCCTTTCTTGTATCGAAAGGATATCGTGATGTCAAAAATTCTAAACAGTTAATATAATATTTGGTCGCCTAACTTTAAAGGAAATGATGCTTTTCTTTAACATACTATATAATGGTATATAAACTTGTGAATTAAGCGACATTTTGAACTAACCATCAGCCATATTACGTTTTAAAAAATAAATTAATTTAATAAAACACAAGTTAGGCAGGGTGCATGGTAAAAGGGAAGTCCGAATTTTATTTTCCATATTTGAAACCTTTTCTTTCCTTATTTATTACTTAAAATGGAAGTTATTAAAATGATACACAGTCTAGTGTAATTAAACTGGGGGTGTATATTAATATAATTTTACCTCCTGGTAATAGTTAAACAATAACTATTGTTTAATTATTACCATTTATTCTAACTAAAATAACCATTTTGATATTTTTTAAACCAACGAAAAAAAAAAAAAATTTAAATAAAGTTCTATATAACAAAATCAAATAAGGTATGATATTTCAAGTTTCTAATTAAGTTATTTAACTCAAAAGTTAATTTAACCTCCTTCAAAATATTGTAATGATAATTTTTTAGCAATCGCAAAATTATGAAACCGATATATAATTATGTTTTCCGGTTTTTAATTTTTTTTAACCGTTTCAGATAATTAACCGTGCATAATTTGTTTAGTTTTTGCTGTAGTTTGGTTTTAATAGTCACATATAGTATGACTTTTTTCAACAAAATAATAAAGTCATTTTCTTGTTATACGATAATAATAAAATATGTAAAATTCAATAAAAACGGAATTCAATAAAATAATTTTTATTACAACAATTTTCTTTGTAACGATTTTTATTTTTTACACCTGTTGACGCTGATCACAATAGATCAGCGAAATTTCGAGAAAAATATATTAAAATAAAAACAAATATATATTTTTAAAAAAAGTTTATACGCAGCCGTTTTTATTGAATTTTACATATTATATATATATACATATATATGTATGTATATATATATATATATATATATATATATATATATATATATATATATATATATATATATATATATATATATATATATATGTATGTATATATATATATATATATATATATATATATATATATATATATATATATATATATATATATATATATAAATATATATATATATATATATATATATATATACATATACATATATATATATATACATATATATATATATATATATATATATATATATGTGTATATATATATATATATATATATATATATATATATATATATATATATATATATATATATAAACGCCGACGACACAGTCGGCGTTAAAGTCGGGGGGGGGGGGGGGGAGGGGGAGGCACAATCGTCAATTTTTAAAAAAAGTCTTCTATTTG